TGTTGTTGTTGTTGTTGTTGTTGTTGTTGTTGTTGTTGATGTTGTTGTTGTTGTTGTTGTTGTTGTCGTTGTTGTTGTTGTTGTTGTTGTTGGTGGTGTTGTTGTTGTTGTTGTTGTTGTTATTGTCGTTGTTGTTGTTGTTGTTATTGTTGTTGTGGTTGTTATTGTTGTTGTTGTTGTTGTTATTGTCGTTGTTGTTGTTGTTGTTGTTGTTGTTATTGTTGTTGTTGTTGTTGTTGTTGTTGTTTGTTCTTCTCTCACCATATATCACCTTTTTATTAGTGTCATCAATTGTTCATCCTACTCCAGCACTACGGTGCTTGGAATTCATTATTATCATTTACCTGATAATGAATCACAATACAACCACATGTCGTCATCGCCGATGTCATCTATTACTGCTTCCTATACTACTCCTCCTCATCATCGACCTCTCCCGGACCTATTCCGTATCTGCCACTGAAGTCCTGCCGATACCTGCCTCGCCCAGTCGGTCATCCGTGTCACCAATAGTGTCACCAGCCAACGTTGGTCGACCAAGGCAAATCGACGATGAGGCCTCTCAGGTGAGATTGATGATAATAAGGGGGAAATAAACGAGATATTTCCCAGATAGTATGGCCGAACCTTGAGCCCACCTACCCACCTGAGGAGCACTTCGACTGGGACTTGGTGATAGTAATACCAACACACATTACGGAGTTCTCGAGGAGATGTGCAGTGCGAGACAGTTGGGCTCGACAGCTGAGAGGACATGAACAGGTAAATCGTCGTTATAGTAGTTAAATGGAGTTTCATCTGTTCAACGCAAAGTGATGTAAATTATAAGATGTTTACTTCTCCGCGATCGATAATACAAATATAGGTGATTTTTTCATATCACGCGTGCAACTTGAATATTGTGGCATTTTGTAGGGGAATAAATATGGTCGCAGAAGTGTGAAGTTGGTTTTCATCGTTGGTGCCCACGCCCCGGACGACCGTACTCGAACGATGGCTGAGGCTGAGGAGAGACAGTTTGGTATGCTTGAATGGTAAACTAGTAAGACTCAGAGTTTTCTATTAAGGTGATATACACGTCCTACCTTCTGAGTTCGTCGATGAGTACCGCTCCCTGGCAACAAAAACGAGGCTGTCAATGAGAGACGCGGTCCATAACATAGGAAAGTAAAAGGGAAAAAAATTTAGTAAATTTTCGGAAATTTCTGCTATTTAGGTTCCGACTGCTTCTCAAAACGGATACAGACAGTTATGTCCATCTCGAAAGGTGAGTCGTAGAAGAGGGAGAATATGCACATGATTATTATACGGAAATTTTGGGGAAATTTTGAGGAAATTTTGGGGAAATTTTGGGGGAATTTTGGGGAAATTTTGTTTGGATATGTACATTTCTACCCGAATTCGTATATAAACTTGTATAATTAGCTTTGGAAACTCTTCTGAGCTCAGCAGCTGAGGAAAGCGAACATATATTCATACTCCAACACTGTATAGGAAACTCTTCTGAGCTCAGCAGCTGAGGAAAGCGAACATATATTCATACTCCAACACTGTTGATATCAGGTTGCTTAACTTCATTGAGAAGGAGAAAATGTGGGATGACCGACGTGTTTATGCTGGGGCCTTCCGGACAGATGTGGTGGAGTGGCGGGCCGAGGAAAAAGGTTCCAAATGGTAAAACTTGGAAACATTTAGAGATGATTTCTGCATCACTACTTTAAGAGTATTGTTGAGTCCATTTTTCGAAAAAAAATGGAAAAACTTTTCCTATTGTATTTGCAAAACTGTTGAAATTTGTACTATTGGAAAAGAACTCTGGGGCGTGTGTTTAGAATATCCGAGCATATCATCTCGGGAATATCATCCTACGTGATTTCCCGTGATGGGGGTTCTTAACGCGGTTGTTGGCCTGTGCTCAGGTGGGATGGCGATTTCAAGAAAATGACAGGTCTCGAGCACTACCCCTACAATGCCAAAGGTAATAGTAGTAGTAGTAGTAGTAACTACTACACGAGTAGTAGTAGTCGTCTGGTGTTCAGGTGCTGGGTATATAGTGTCCTATGACCTTGCTAAATATCTAGCTGATCCTCCCATCCCACTACGACGTTGGACACATGAGGATGTTGGTGTTGGATCTTGGCTAATGGCTGTTGAGTAAGTAGTGGCTACTACTCCTACTACTACAGTTATTCTCTTCTTCACTATCAGTCATCGTCGTGTGTCGATGCCGGTATCATTCATGACGCCTGAGTGTGGCTGTGGAGCCACATGCGATGAGGATACGTTCTATCAGGATGAGGGTGATGATATCTTACGAAGAGAGTAGGCTATTGTTTGGGGTATTAAATGGATTGAAAGTGATAGAAAAATAAAATTTGGGGGGTTGGTCTAGGGGAAATACCAAATTATCGAAAATAGACAGTATTGGAATAATTAGCTGATATTGAATACCATAAATCTTTCATATCGCGCAGTGATGAGACCTGTCTATGGGAATGGTTAATAGTGATAGTTGGGATTTGATTTTCTAGGATTTCACTGTCACTTGGTGGTTGCCGAATTTTACTGCTTTTCATCATTACCTCATACCACACCAATCCCAACGTCTCTCTCTTCGCATGGTATATCCCCATACACCACTCGTCCCTTCAGGCCAGTAGTCATTGACCATTACGTTCCCGAGTATCTTCAGCGGTGGCGGCAGCGTCGATATGAACTCATTGGAGATGCGTGTTGGGCTTCTGAAAATGATGGACTTCTTCCCCACGACATTTTCGAGGTCGAAGATTCGCATTACCCCTCCTTTACAACAGGGATGATGGGCTATACGTAATGATGGTTTTTATCGGTTACTCCTCTGATATTCGTTCCTTGTCAGTTACCGCTTCCACCCACTAGGGGCATATGGTCATCCGATTTTACCAGATCACACAGACACTCGTTCGGGCGT